TCATAATTAACCGAGTTACAAATTTATCTTCTACTTGGACGTATTTTCATGATTTAAAAAATATCGTGAATTTTTTCATAATAAAGCGCGACTTACGCTTAAAAGCGTGGAAGAATGTTTCACATCAGCAGGATGAGAAGCAACCACTAAACCATTAGATCATCCTAACTAATTCGTCGCAAGAAACGTCATGATTCGAGACAAGGATTTTGACAGTTCGATGCGGTACACAAGGGCTCAAAACGTGACGAAACGACGTTAATTAGCTCACGCGCATGCAACGCAGTGACATGACGCGACGTTATTTGAGCCGCAAAAGCATTTCGGCATTCGTCAGGGACCTTTCTAGTGTGTCTTGTTACGGTGTCCCGTGGAAAGTTTTGCTGAAACGATCGTAGCATGTGACATGCCGAAGACGCGCACGTAACTATTTCGGCCGAATAGCCAGCTGAAAACGCTGTCAGCCGATTGTATTACCAAGGCCGGCCAAAACGATTACGAATCAAGTATAAATCATTAGCACGCGAACCGGCGGCCTTGTCGATAATTCAATGCCACTGCTCGGATAGATTTTTCAAGTCAGCGATAACGAGCTTTCGAAAATGACGAAAGAGATTACGAACGATTATCCTGTCTAGTGGATCTCGTATGAATTAATGAGAAACATTTTTCATGGAAAATTGAAAGGGTTCGAGTAATACTATACTTCGTCGCATGATATATCCGTCGCACGGATAATACAATTTTCTCTGTGTTCGCTGAGCGAGGAGCAACGTTTTACGATACGACGATATATAAAATGTTAGATATAGCGCTCTTTTACGAACTACGATAATAAATATTAAAATTGAATCGTTCGTATCTCAGGTCGATTTCGTGATACGAAATGTACACGTACATATTTCAAATTTATAGTTTAATAAAATAATAATTCAATAATTTAATAAAGTGTCGATAAAACGAACATATGGTAAACGCATCTATATCGTAATATCGTCCATTAGAAGAAAGAAATATATGTTATGTCTCATGTTATCAAGTTAAAGCAATTGAGATTCAAAAATTCTTAATCTTCTTTCTCTATTTAGGAAGATAAAACAGTCTCTATATGCAGTCGCTATGCTAACCTTTATGTTTTCTGCTCGTCGAGTTAAAACAATCGAGATCTAAAGATTTTTAACCTTCTCGCTCGAACACGGTGCAGACGAGCACTTTGCGGCAGCGTCACTGCCGCTGCAATTTGCCGCCGCTTCGTAACGTGTGAACTGCTTCGTTAAATCTATGCTATTCTAAAGCACAGCGGTAAATTACCGCGACGGTAACGCTGCCGCAAACTGCTCGTCTGCACCGATTCTTAAGAAGATAAAATAGTCGCTATATCTAGTCTCTATAGCCTCTATCTTTCGTGCTCGTCAAGTTAAAACAATTTACATCTGAAGAATCTTAATCTCTTTTTGCCCTCTTAACAGGATAGAAGAGTATAGATCTCTAAAATATACTTTTCACTTGTCTGACAAGGCACACAGACAACAGCAATTCAGTATCGCTCTGGTACTTAAACGATTGGCTGTCCCTTTAGATTCGAAGAATAAGAGCATGAAATTGAATCAAGGCGTTTTCTACCAGTGTAGTGGCAACATCCACGCGCGCAAATCGTATTCCACATTTTGTGGAAGCATGTAATCATTGCGAAATTCACGAAATTCGATATCTCGGTACACGAAGCGCAGTTTCACGCGCGTAAAAATATGCGCTCACCGAATTTCTTAGCGCTTACGTTACGCCGGTGATGCAACCTGCAAGTTGACATAGAGAGACTACCGAAAGAAGTAGAGACAGGCGCGGTTGCATCGTATATCAACGCCGGCCTCGCGGTTTTCCTCCAGCACGTGTGAACGTTGGGATTTCCTATCTGTGAATGTCGTTTCTACTCCGTTTTTTATGGAAACGCGTGTTTCTGTTTCTCCGATGAACGCTTTAAAGTACACAACGTTTAAAATTTAGGAGCAATCATAGATGAGCGATGAAAAAACATATCTTAATAAAGTCAAGTTCAACGAATGAACATGATTTCATGATCTACAGAATTCAGATCGTGAGAAAAATATAAAACTTATACCGATAATATCAATGTTTTTATTTTTATATTTTACAAACAATCGGAGAAAATTCTTGTGGGAAATTACGAATTAATTTATTTTGATCGCTTCTAGTACCAGTAAAATTGACCAACTCATGTATGTTGTATCATGTTTCTTACGAATTTCTTATCTTTTACCACTTGTAAATGTTGAGACTTAACAATCATAGATTATGAACGTACAAAAAATTGTAATATATATAATAAGAAAAAGACATTTTCCTTGCATTTTGCTTTATTTTATTGACTCAGAATGATACTTGAAGTCTTGAAGTACATCGTGATAACTAAGGAATGTATCCGATAAAAGCCATCCCAATCCATATCTAATAGAAAGTTTCTCAAAGTACAAGATAGAGAAGATACGAAACAGGGAGGACAGTAAGCTCGTGGTTCGCTACTAAAGCATATCATAAGAAAATCCTGAAAATGTACGTAAAACGAATGGCAATGTTGGATGAGCAAGAGAATCGGTTCATTCAATAATGTCACTGTTGCTTGCGCGCGTCTCATTGATACCGGAATCCCGTGGAGGAAACACGAGATTCGTTTGCTCCGGTTGACGTTCGATGGCCGATGCGAAATCGACGGTGCGATCGGAGCAAGTCAATGAGACTCGATAGATCGTGTCCTCCGCGTATGATGCGACCAGACGTCACGTTGAAAGCCGTGTGCCATTGGTCGAGATGCTGACAAGCCCCCGTCAAGCCTCTGTACTTCTGACTCACGTGCGTTTATCTGTCGTCGAACTAAAATGTCCGTGGGCGAAGCCTCAACACACTCGACGCCGAATAAACAACGAACGTTATCATCGATCGACATGGTTCGATCAATATGTTCCGTAGATCGAACACAGAGATCGACCTGGGTCGATCGAGTCACCGTAAAATTAAACGAAACAGGCTCAAAGCAGTTTTACTGCGGTGATTTTTAACCGCTGAATTAACTATCAAAGGTGATTGTGCTTGTATCGAAGAAGGTTAATTAAGAAAAAGAGAATATTATGGTATATAAATAAAAAATAAATCTTAATAAATTACTAGCATGTACGAGTTTGAATAGTTTCGATTTTTTTTGTACAGTGTTGTCGCACACGATATTTATATTTTGGAATTAATTTTAATCCAAGTTGAAGTATTATGAGAATTTTTATTTTAATACGCTTCTAAGCCCTGACGTAAAAGTAGAGTTCGATTAGTCACGAAATTTTGACAAGAATTTCTGTATCTCTTCGCAATAACGCGAAAGAATGAAATTTATCGCGTAAAATTTTTTAGAATGAATATATCTGTATGCGAGGGAAAATATATTCTATCAACTCGCTACATGTATATTGTTTCTGATAGAGAGATCTTCCTAGGTCAATGACATTGAACTTTGAAAAAGGATCGAGGTTACTTGATCTGAAACAGTCACGAATAACGATTTTAATAGAATTGTTACGACTGTTTCATTTCTCTAAATTCGATCCGGTAACTCGGTACGCTTGATCTTTCCTTTACGAGCACACAAATGCTCTACCGACGTCATCATTTTTCTGGCTTGCAATCAGTGTTTGACTAATGCTTTGCAGGGAGTGATTGACGGAAATATACGTTGGAAAACACGTTGGAATAATACCGATGTATAACTTTCATTTAATTCAATGAAGTTTAAGCTAGCAATTCTTCAAATTTCTAAATTTTTTAATTTTTTCGATCAAAATCTAAATGAAAAATCCAAAAAATATTAATTTTTCTTTAGAATAATTATGACACTATAAAGGTCAAATACAAAACTGATTCTAAAATGAAAAAATTGTTTACGTTATACGAGACAGACTGAAAATAATTAAACATTAAAATTTGTCTTATGATATAATTTTCTAGAATCGACGAGTATAGGTTTCATGAAAATAATACAAGTCGAACGATATTGGAAATCTAAGAAGAAGCAAATATTTTTGCAGCATTCAATCACTGATTAAACCATTGTAACGTTCGGTAAATATAAGTCGATAATTCCACATGCGTAACAATACAGCGATCAATATGTAATGCAACATAGTCATACAAGGCATACAAGAGCTGTTTACTTGATAATGACGAAAATACACGATTTTCATGAAAATACATGTTCCATCTATTCAGAACAAAACTACGAAAAATATTCTCCTAATTGCAGATCTATAAAGCTTCGAACTATCAATGATCAAACTTTGTGATTCGATCACGGGATGATTTCCAAAGTGTGGAAGAAGCGTGTCATACAATTTACCAAACATTCGAAGATATAAATAAAAATATTCTCTAAAAATACAAAAGAGTAAAAGAAAACATTGCGCTCCTAGTTCATGTTTCTCCAAACATCGCCATTTTTGATCTCCAAAGAACGAGGAATAAAATACACTTTTAATTTCACAAACAGTCCAGGATATAAATAACAAAAGTTCCATGAAATGACAGAAATGTCGCGTTCCTAATTACACCTATATATTAACAAACTATTATTTGTAATCTCCAAAAAACGAAGACTAAGGCATTCGTTCGATTCATCAAAAGTTAGAAAATACAAATTACAAAAATTCTTCAAGACCACGAGATATATCATGCTGCTAATTTCATCCTCCGAAAACCGTAAACTCACAGACTTGCAAACTGTACCAATGAACGAATAACCTTCGACGATAATCAATCCCACCGAAACATGTCCAAACACCAAAGACAAACATCGCGTACTTTTTTTCCTCGAATTTTATCAACTGGTAGTTCGAAATTAACCCCATGAACGATCTTCGAATCGACCAACGAAACAGAAGAAACGCAGATGTCCCCACCCGCGCTCCGCCAGCTACTAGCTCAGCCTATATAAACCCGCGGCATCTCGCAAGTCTCTTCATTCTATACGAGGCGTCAGTCTATGTATAAAGTCGGAAGTATCGTGGTATACGGATTGTTAATACCGTGGAAAATATCATTCAACAACGAACTGCGAGATAGCACGCGTGCATTTGTTTGAATCCACTAGGCAGACAACGCTTAGGTAAACCGAATTAAAGTCGCTTCGACGAGGACACGAAGCGTTCCTTGAGCTACCAGAGCCGAGATCCTTTGCTGCCTAGGTTCTGGTCAGGGTCAGTGCGCGGGACCATCCCGCCTCGAGAGATTTATCGAACATCGTTGCAGCTAGTCCAAATTATTTTCGAATTGAAAATAATTAGAGCTTCTGTAAATTTGCACCTGGAAAAACGAAGAGAATAAATCAATAGAGAGGAAGCTTTCTTCAAGGAGGAATCGTCTCGTTTCTGTTCATCATCGTTTCGACAGACAGGCGACAGCCTTCGCATCTTCTCTTTTGCAACATTTCGAAGAATTCGTCTACACGACAGGATGAAACTAGCACTCTTAGTGATTCTGCTGGCGGTCCTGTATACCGTCAACTATTCCAATAGTGCTGCAGTCAGATCGGAGGTAAGATATATACGTATATGATATTTTAATAAGCGGGTCTGTTGGAATGAAAATCGATGATCAAGGGAGTAGATAGAAAATGCTGAGAACTCTGATCATTGATCATTTTGCTTCTCGGTCTGTGCATGGAATTTTCTACTGCACTGGAGAAATTTTACCAATTTCCGATACTCGAACACCTGCTATCAAGATTCGAAGTGAATTCACACGTGCTAGATTTGAATGAATAATTATCAGAAAAGCTAAATAGCAACATATTCGAAACTATTTCCTTTTAATGTAGTTATGATCTTTAATGAAAGCTTATGAATAAAAGAACGCGTCTTAATAACTAGCTAAAACGAAGACAATGGCGTTGTAATTTAATCCTAATTAATTTCAATTTAAATGATTTGCAATGAAATAATTCTTGAAATAAAAAAGTACCATCTTTCAATATCGAAAGAAATATTTTCAAAATTTGTCAAGTTGAATATTGATTCGAAAACGAAAAAGGATCACACATAACGTTATTGAAAACTGTTGAATAGTAAATTTAATGGCACTACCGATAATTTTTCATTTTTGGACAGGTAAATCGTAAGTGTGAACATTATCGTAAGATTGTAATTGTATTTCGTTAAATGCATGATAAAGCGATGCGTATAAGACTCAACTCCAACGTTTTTCTTTTTAAAATGAAATCGATAGCATTGACCCCTACTGCGCCGATAATTTCATGCGTAACGCGTAAAAGATAATCGCAAAACAATTTCGCTATCTTTTTACGTATTTCTTATAAATAATCGTGAACTACTCCAAGTTGATCTACAAACTCTGATCTACCATAGATTACAGTATTTCTTATGTTGCTTTTATATAATACATTCATAATTATTATTGTTATTATTATTCTATTATATAATGTATTATATTTACAGTTATTATTAGTACAATTATTTCCAATATATTTATTAATATAAATTATATACAAGAAAGTATAAAAGTAAACCGTAATTTTAAATCAATCTATATTAAAATTATTCTATGGAAGATTTAAAAACTTTCCGCGTGTATTTTCCTTACATGTAGTATACAGTATACATGATTTTTTAGATACCGTACAATTTTCTAAAATTCGAATTTATAGAATTAATAATTTTTCAATTATTTCTACTACATTTGTCGTAAATTTTGTGCGAGAAAACCTGGAGTTTGTAACATTTGATGTGTTATTATTTTGCAGGAATTCGCTGAACAGTTGCGCAGGATTGTCCATGAAATGCACCCCGATAACCTAAGAACACAGAGAGCAACCGAGAGCGGAAATGACGACCGTCCGAAACGGAATTGTTACGATACACCCTGCGGATGGAATACATACAATCCTGTCACTCGGCGAGGCACGATTTTCATGCCGAATACGTAAGTTAAAATTATACACGCATGATGCTCAAGATAATTACTGATATCGTAATTATCAAGTAAACATTTTTACGAAAATTGTACATCGCAATTTTTTTCCCTTCGATAATTTCTTCTATCATTACGTACGATTATATAAGAATCGTCTTATTGTATTGTATAATTTCCATTAATATATTCGTTCGTTTAATTATTCATATAACTGTTTATTTAATATATTAACATATTCGTGAAATATTTATAAAGCGTAAACAAGCAGCAACTTAATTACGGAAAATCGAACGATTAATATTCGATGTATATTATTACTCATGAATTAGCGAAATGTATTCAAAATGGGTCTTTATGAATGAACTATGCTAATATGTAATAACCCTGCAAGATAAAAAGTAGTAACAAACATTCTTATCATCTATCAACAGTGCACAATGAATGCTTAATCTCGTTCGCAGTTTTATTATTGTACGAGTAATCGACGTTTCACATAAAGTTATTATTCCAATTAATTCAGATGCAAATTATAAGTATGTAATTGGGCACTCTTACCATTCATGAAACGTTACAAAATTCAGTATTACTACTCTCATAAACTGTTCATTTACGCTATTTAATAATTATCGAAATAAAATTAATAACGATCCAACAAAGATTTAATAATTATAAAAATGTTACTAAAAATATTTTATAAACAAAACTTTACAGTTACAAATTTACTTTAATTTTATTTAATTTCATTAAATTTATTTTAATTCAATTAAAATTGAATAAATATACGAAAAAGAATATTAAAAATATTTCATAGAAAAAGTTTTATAATTACAAAAACTTCAAAATAAATGAATTATATTATTTGAGTATCTCAATATAAAAATATTTTTTGTTCTTTTGTTAGATGTAAGTGTCCTGACGACACGTACAGGTGTGTGCGTACAGGCGAAAACGTATCCATGAGTGCGTACGTATATCACTGTCGTCAAAATACGACATCGGACGATATTGAAGGCGAAACGTCTGAAGATATGGATTATCTTAGTTAAGAAAGATGCAGACATACCTGAATGACAAACGCCTTTTCGAACAACCGTTGTTATGGTGTTGTCACCGTCCTGGTCACTGTGTCACCATCGAACGAAGCGATTCTCCGTTCTCTCCTCCAAGGAATATTCGACACTCAAATTAAATACTACATACGGACTACATACGGATACGTAAATCTACAAAAGAAAACGTCACGCTGTCACAATATATTCGCGTCAAATAATTCTATACGTCAAAAATCGGCATTTTGCTGTCTAACGAGACGACACTTGTGTATAAGATACAGCGGGAAGAAAATCAAATACCGGTTCGATATTTGAAATTAAATATGGCCGCGATATTATTTCGATAATCGAAATTACCGACAAACTAGGATAAGGAGTTATTCAACAATTCTTCAATCTCAAAACATAAATCGACATAACCGTATCGGTCTAATTTGAAGATTTCTAACGAATTTGTAGTATTTATAGATAAATAACATAAAAATCGGATAAGTTTGTTTAGATGTAGTAAACGGAATATCGGTTTACCGGCGCGTGAATGTTAGAATAGACTTTCAGTATAAAATAACATTTTAATTATAAACTAACACGTTTATAAGATATTTTTATGCACAAGTTTCCCTAAGATGATCATTTACGAGATTTTGATGATTCTCGCAAGAAACGTTGTTAAAAATTAGTAATTTTACCTTAATTACACGGAACAAATCTTCGAACGACGCACCAACGTCGCTTGTGAACCGTAGACTGCGCGCGCATATTCCGCGTCGCTATAAGCAAGATCTCTCGCAATAACGCCATTTTCAAACTCATTTAGCTTCTACTACACTGTAAATTTGAATTTCGTTACAAATCTTTAAAACAAAAATGATGAATATAGAAGTGTTGTGTAATTCTGATGTAAAACAAATAACAAAGGGGGAAATTAAACTGCTATCCTTCGAAATAGACAAGACGCACGGAACACAAAGCCGTAAGTTAATCGCAGTTTTTCTTCAAATTACTCATATAGAAAATTCATCATAAGGTAATCAAGCGATAATTAACATACATCAATATTTTATGATTTTTAATAATAAGTTTCATTATACTTTCTTGGCATAAAATAATAGAAAGTACGTAATGAAATCCTTTCAGACCTGATTGATCTTATGGAAATAAGTTATTAACGATGAATTTTAATAATCTATACAAAAATATCTGATTTGTAAAAAAGCTACTTAATTTTTTGAAAAATGGATAAGATCGGGTCTGAGAAGATTCAAGTTTGTATCAAACTTTAATAAGATCCAAACTTCGTATTCGTAATTTTATTCTTAAGCTACGATGCTTACCAGAAGTAAGCAAACTTTTATTTGAAATTTTGAAATATTCGGAAGCCTCGTCTTTGTCTACTTTTTGTAAAATTGTATTTATTTACGTCATCCAGTACTCATGGTTATTATGAAAACATATCTTTCATTTATCATAATTTGATCCATAAAAGAATAAAACGAATACGAAACTTTAATATTTTCATCGGTAACCATGAAGTTGTCGAGAATCGATTTTTTTAATCGAATACAAATCTCGGCGATTCGATGTACTGATTTCTATTCGAATTTCAAAATACCAGTTACGAATAAGAACGAATTTATTTTTTACCGAACCTCATTGGCCATTAACAATGAATAATGTAATTATTTTTAAGTTAATGAACACCTTAGAAGTACTCAAGGTGGTGTAAAATTAGCAAGGATAGGTTACAGTATTTCGATAAGGAACAATCCACAATTTTGTACTTAAAGGGAAAAATTACTTCGAATCTTTTTTGTATATCATTATCGACTATTTATAACGTGCAATAGTAACATATAGTTGATGAAAGAAATGCAACAGTTTAGGTTACGATCTCGTTATGTTTCTTGCATCGACTATAATTATATCGTTCGATTATTATAAACGTCATATTCGAGTTTTTACTTAAAAACCAAAGAGATTCTTACTTCAATTATTTTCCATCCGATCGACTTTTTACATTTCATAGATATATTACACCGTCTTGTGATTGCTTTGCAACAATCTCGAATATTATTATCGAGATAAAATAAAGCCGAGATGATGATAGATCATCTTGTTTCTTGTTTTCAATTGTGTCGAAATAGATATACATGAAAGGATAAAATAGAAAAATAATTATATAGAACAATTTGTCTACACGTTTGCAATATCAATCGTATTGTAAGTTTGTTGAAAAATTAGATAATTTGATCCTTTATATGTAACGCCCAATTCATCTAGAAAATGTTGGTTTTCTTGATACAGAAAATACATAAAAATTATTTGGATGAATTAATAATTTCGAATACCCTTACTGTTTCAAGAAAACGTGTAGAAAATAATACAGACAATGTATTCGTATGCAGTATTTCACTTAATATTTAATACACAGGAAGAGTAAATTATCTATAGTTGTACGACGATTACCAATGTTATCATTTTTAATAAAAATAAGTAATGTTGCTGGAAATATTGTTTTATATCCATCCTTCTTCCCACATTAATTATCACTTACCTCAATTCTTAGTTGTTAAGAAATAAGGGCAAGTTAATTCTGGATTATGACCTGAAAATAACATAGCGAATCAAATAAAACAGCCATAATATTAATGATTTATTAATATTAATAATGATTTGTGCAAAATATATCAACATTAAATTATTATCTCGAGTAATAAAATTGCCTGTACATTCACTTTTGATACATGGACATACACTTTTAAAATTAGCAATTTCTCGATAAAATACACTATCATCATTCATCAATAGTCACAAGTAGTCGAGCATCGGAAGACCGGGTCTCTCTTTTCTTTGTTCACCTTTCATAAGATACACAGTTTACTATATAACTGTAATATACGCATAACCGCCGAACAGCACAGTGCGTCTGTGTTTATATACTTGGTTGTGTAAATGTATGTAAAATGGTATTTTTCCAAAATTATCCACGAAAACAGAGATGCTAAGATTTCAATTAAATCTGTATAATTACAATAAAAATGTATTCAATCCAAAATTTATGCATACATTATTACTAGATTTTAAACGTCATTTTCTGTTTCAATGATTGGAACAAAACCAATTTGCCTTTTTCAATTATTATAAACAGTCTGAATCTTGCAAAGGTATTATGTGCTTCTTTTCTTTCACCGCGCACGATTTTCTACATTCAATTTCGTATTATCCTTTCTTCTTTTCTGGTGAAAGTTTAAAACATTGAAAATTTAACACTGTGATTGATATCGACAAGATAAAAGATGATTTATAGATTTTTAACAAGTTCAATACGTGTGTGTTTCGTATATCAATATACAAGTAAAAGAATTGGTAAAAAAATACATACTTAAGAATAACGTAAAATAATATCTATAACCATATATGTATCTCGTGCGTGGTGAGTCAATACCTCTCAACGTCTTTCAATAAACGCCGTATTCTAATGTTGTCAACAGCTTTGCACTGTACAGGAACACCATCATACTTTAATATTGTACATTTTCTATCGAATAGCCTAAAGATCAGGTAAAAAATAAGGCCTAGTATTTTTTCGTTTCATATGTATATATACATATATATACATACATATGCATGTATGTACATATATATGCTCTCAGTTATCGCATATCCATACATACATGCACATACATCTGTACAAGCATGTATTTATACGTACAGTTTTATGTATACCGAATTCAAGGGAACGAAAACTTCAATCGCGACATTCGTAAGAAAAATAAGAGAAGTAAGTTATTAAAAACTTCGAATGAAAGATATTTTACATACATGTATATAAAGTTATTATTCAAAAAAAAGTATACAGCTTTATTGTAACCCAATCTTTCGTTACGTTCCAGTTATAAATAGACAGTCGTGAATTAAATAATGTAACATACTACGAATCGAAATTTTAATTTCTTTTAATCACTAACGATATTCAATGTTTTAATGACAATTGTGTAAGTCTATAAAAATAAAATACTTAATAAAATAAAATTGGCTGAATCTGCAATATGCTTATAAACAACAATTATATTATCATAGTCTTCCTAAATATTTAAGATATTACATAAAGTATCAAAAGTTTTACCATTATTTTTTTCTCTTATGTAAAACCTTACCTGGAAAATCTATATCTAGTTTTATCGAAAAGTACTCGATTTTCAGAAATGAAACAATACGTTTAATTATCTTGTATTACCTGATCACAAGCTTAACTTTAATACAATTAGAAATATCGCTCATTATAACTGATCCTCTTTCTTAACATTTGATTCGATAGTTAATTTAGTACTTTACGTTGAAGGAATGCTCAAAGCTAAACCCTTAGACAAACAACAACTTCAACAAGTCAGCGATATTTCAATTTGCATCAAATTTTCCATACCTGTACAGTTGAAGAATCAAATTTAGTTAAAAATTGTATGCAATAAGTTTAGTACACAATGTATAGACTCATTTAGATTCATTTGTAATCTACAATACTTTCTTTCCTTAACGACCACTTCTACACCTTCTTCGTTCGCGATAAACTTCGTTGGCAAAATAAGACGTTCTCTCGTTGTACGATATAGTTCAAGAAGTTCAAGATCAGTCTCGATTTTGCCTTCGATGTAACCCTCTCTTAAGTATTAATTTCTTTTTGTAACAGAAAATATGAATGTGAGACTATCGAAACGAGTTCACAGTATTATCAATATGCTGTCAGAGAATAGTAAAGAAATGATAAGAGACGTGTGATTATACACTTGGTTCCGTCAGAGGATCGGGTTGCAAGCGTTCCACTCGATAACGATTGTATTGTCGATAAGGCGTTCTCGTTTGATCATTGTCCGTGATCACTCGTGTTTTATGAGGAATTAAGTTTTCATAACGTCCCATCAACCAATCCTGACATAATCGGTGTTGAACATCTGCGACATTCTTGGATACCCAAGCCGCCAGCCATTGATGGAACTTTGAATTCAAGTGTTTTGTAACAGCTGGATGACACTGTTGAAAAAGCAACTAATTAATAAATATCATGAGTATCGTTAATTTAAAAAAAAAATAAGACAAATTTTTAATCGTAGAACATACCTCCCTGGCACGACTGAAAGAATTTTGTTTATACAGGAATGCTTCCTTACTAGCAATATAAAGCATTTGGTAACTATTGGGATTAAATCTACACTGGGTTTCATCGGAATTGATAATGTCAGATGTATCCCCAGAATCTGCTAATCTTAAACCAGGAGGTCGCTTTAGAAGCGCATCCACAGAATCCAGTGATTTTTCTTTGTCAGTTGATCTAAAGAAAGATAGAAAGGGAAGGCATTCAAATATTATATCATATCAACAGAGTTATGATTTTAATTATAAAGAGATTTAAATGATACTTACCCTGCTGCTTTATCTGGTTGATTGGTGTTAGGCACTGATGCTGACATCATTCTTGCAGCTTTTTTCCTCCACTGTCTAATATTACGGTAAAGAAATACAGGCTTACGTCCTGCCAAGATTCTGCCTAAAGAACTCCAACCATTTCCATCCATCTACAACAATCATTTCATGTTAACTTTTTTAACAGGTACAGCTTAATACATGTATACATACAATTTTAATGATATCATTCATTGTATTATTATGAGTAATTAGTACTAAGTTTAACATACTTAAGTTAAGAGCTCTTATTACAGCACAATTGCAAAATAATTTATTACAATATTTCACACCTCGTACTAAATTACAAACATTCCTCTTGTATAGAGCTTACTCTCTTTCTAAAAGTAATAAAATGTTTTAAGTAAAAATAATAAACTACGGCAAAATACAGAAACAAATGAAAGATATATAAAAATAATCAATTTTCTATATACAAAAGAAAAACGAAATTTTCTTAAGGGTACTCGTTCAAAAGGAATTTAAATTTTTTTATGCTATCTTCATTTTTTGTAAGTAAGTTATATGTCATTATGTGATTGTCATTATACACTGACACGTACTGAATCGCATACGCATCAATAAATAACTATACTCTACAAATAAAATTTATTAACAATTAACTTGGGAAAACGTGGATACATAAAAGGATGTTCTTTAAAGAACGTACAAAAAGATTTAACGGTTTTCGGGGGTTTATGCATGAAAAAGAGCAATAAGCGAAAACAAACCACATTCAAAATATCTTGTAATCTGTTGTTTTACTATTTTTTAGCATGTTACTGATACTGTATAAATGACTAGGAATAAGTAACAATTCTTACGTGTTAACAGTACTTTATAATGAAATTATTAATTGTAGTTCAGAAATATTCATTCATAAATTTATCATTATATAATAACAATATGTAACAGCAACTATATTGAGTCTTAGTACCAATAATACTTAAAAATAATAAAACAAATTTGTCCAATAATTTTGTGTAAGCAAAATGAAATCAATTAAACGAACACGAGATGAAATGAAAGAAAATGAGCTTAAAGTAACATTTTCAGGTCAATTTTCAATCCATGTACATTCACAGACGACCAGTGAACTTTTTCAATCGAAAGCATAACAAAAAAGGCGTGGTATTGATATGATTCGAATGAAATTCTAACTTATATGGCGGCTTTACTATTTTAAAATACAAATGTGTTAGAAAAGAGATATATTACTCTTAATATACATATGTGTATACATATATATACGTATATATTGTATATATACATATATATATATATATGTGTATGTGTGTGTATATTTATCACCATTTAATGTTCAGCACACATGATATAATATTGAAATAATAAAACAGAACAACAAATCGAAGCTAAATGAGAAAAAATATGTAAAATAAAAATCATATAAGGACAAACATAAAAATTTTAATATCTGAAATTAAATATCTCTCTGTATGATTACTAAGTATTTAAATATAGTATTATGGAATATTCATTTTGCATTGTTTTTTGTCTCGTTTCATTCGTAAAAGCACAGGCAAAGAATTCTTTTATCTTTCTTTGTCGTCACAAAAAATTAATATCATCGGAGAATCAAAGTAATAAATTTAGTGGTACAAAATGATGTTAGACAATAATGTTTAAAAGCATTGTTCATGTATTTCAATATCTCTCTTCTATACAATATTATTGTTTATCTATTATTATATGTATATTCGTTTCATATACAGATTACAGTTACAAAATATATATATATATATGTCTTATATATATATAGAGTTTAAAATTCACTGCATAAAGTGAAAACGGAGATATGAGCTTATAACAATCACATAAAATCTGTCTGCACATACGACCTCATAGTCTCAATGAAACTATATTACAAATGTCATAGTAACGTTTAAATCAGATCATTTGTGGCAACAATTACATATATATGTGTATATATATACATATATATGTGTGTGTAGGTATATACATATATATATGTATATATATCGTTTAAATTAATTTAAATTTGTGCCACGTTATCTAATAAAAA